TTACGAATTTTTGGCTTCGTTACTGGTTTTTTCTTTAAATGCCACTGATCGTGTCATATTTTTTATTATTTTTTATTTTTTTCAAGTAAACAAGAGTTTAATATTTTAAAAAATCTCAGGATATTATACACTAATGTCTTTATATCTGACAAGTCCCAATACTCAATTTTTTTTACGAAATATTACGAATTTTTGGCTTCGTTGCTGGTTTTTTCTTTAAATGCCACTGATCGTGTCATATTTTTTATTATTTTTTTCTTTTTTTTTACGTAAAAAACAGTTTAATATTTTAAAAAATCTCAGGATATTATACACATTTTTTAAAAAGCTTCCCATTTAAATTCTATTGCAGGAAAAAGAAAGAAAGGCAGGAGGAAAGAAAAAATGATAAAAAATTTGAAATTCATATTTCAGTATGGTTCCAAATGTTAATGAGGAAGGATGTATGATTTTTTATGCACATTTTGTATTTCCCAATAAGGTAAGTTGAGTAGTGTCGGCTAACAAAAATGTTAATAAAAGTAATATAGGTTGACACATTTCAACAATTTGAAATATCTCATTTCGGTTATTTATACGTTACTTATAAAATTGTTTCAAATAATATCAGTTAGTTTTTAAGTTATTAAAAATAAATATGTATGTACCTACTTCCAATCAATTTTTTTTTTAAATAATTATTTTAAAACTATTTCGAACATGCTTTATGAGTGCTTCAAAAATTTTGTTGTGCTCTTCTTTCATATTTTATTAGCAGGTAAACAAGAGCAATCTATTTATAAAATGTCCCTGCATGTGTACGTATGACCTATCTTAATTCTAAACGGAAAGAATATTACATAAAGAACAAATTTTAAAATACCTGTTATTTTACAGTCGTGATTTTTGAGTCATTTGGTAAAATACCATTTATTTCAAAAATAAAAAAATATTCAAATCCGGTCATAAAAATATATGATTGTTTTTTCCAAACATTTTAAATATTTTTTTTTCTTAGGTAATTGATATAAATGATAGTAAGTTTTTAATATTTTTTCAAATAAAAATAGAGGTAAAATTTTGAAGTTTATATAAAATTTGTATTTAAAAAATAATATTTGATTGTATTTTAGATATTATTTTCTAATTCCCTCTTCAAATTTTTTCTTTACTATGTATTTATATCAACATTTAAGAATTATCTTTCATTAATTATATTTTCAACTTGACACCACAGTTACTCCCCATATCTTGAGTTAACTTACCCTACAAGAAAAAAAAGCTGTTCACTTAAAAATAATAAAATGCTTTCAGTAACATATAAAACGTTGAAGGCGAAGGATGTGCTTGTTGTTTTTCCGCTTTTTTTGAAATTTTAAAATAATTATCAATGAAAATAATAATATATTTTTTTGATTTTTCAAATATATTTTAAGTGTGAATTTATTTTAATATTTCTTCTCAAAAAATAGCCACTTCGATTTAAAAAAAACCCATATAAAATAAGGTCGTGCTTTCAAGTTTCTCTCTGAGCATTGGGACTTGTTAGATATAAAGACATTAGTTTAATACATATTTATTTTTAATAACTTAAAAACTAACTGATATTATTTGAAACAATTTTATAAGTAACGTATAAATAACCGAAATGAGATATTTCAAATTGTTGAAATGTGTCAACCTATATTACTTTAGTTTTCAAGTCACAAATTTTAGAACGAAACTTTGATTTTCTTTAATATACTTTTTTTATACGCTGCTTCATTGCTCAGGCGTTTTGTGAAATAAAAAACCAAATTTTATTCGTAAATTTAAAATTATGAATAAAATTTCGTTATGTACAATCATTTAAGTATATATGTAAGTAAATAAATTTTTCAAAAAAGTTCATTTGATATAATTTTCATAAAACCTTTTACAATAAGTTTCACCTACGTCAAAAAGTAAATTTTTTGGTTGTTAAAATCAAAAAATTAAGTTTAAATGATTGTCATAAATCTTATCATAAGTTCATAAAAAAACATACATTTAAATAAATTACCTTGTTTTTGAATTTATAGACCAAAGAATTGAAAGTTTAGTTCCAGACTTTAATTTTATAATTCAGCATAATAAGGTTACAAGAAAGTGCTTTATGATGCACAATATGCAATGCCGGTCACAGTAATAAAATAGGTGAAACGGTTGAAGGGGGGCGCACTTTTTAGGAAATGCTTAGGGCGACGAATACAGGAGAACCGCGCCTGGAGCTGTCACTTTCAATTCCTACAATAAGAATAATAAAAAAGAATAAATCAGAAGGTATGATTCTTATGCTTGAATTAAAATAAGTCATGAAATTGTTTAAGTTGAAATTTTAAGAATCATATAATAAATTTTATATTTTATTAGTTTTAGGATTAATAGTAGGTCGGATATATAACTTACACATTTACGTGCGGTAATTTAATCATATCTTCAACTCTTTTATACACATATTTTGAATAATACATTAATTATTTACGTATCATGCTAAATGAATGTACGAAACATCATAAAACAAATGTCAATAAATAATAAGAATTCGCCACATTATAAAAAAACTTTTGCAAGGCTTTTTCTATTGTATTCTTTTGAGATTCTTTTACTAAAAAGTGATACCTAGTTATGAGTTCTGATTTTGAAACAAACAATATGAATATAGAAAACATATAAATTTGAACATGAGGGAAAACTTAACTTACTACAACTGTCGCAAATTTTGCTAGTAAATCGTACATGTACAAATTTTCATCACATATTATTCCCATGCAAAAGATTTGTACAATATTACTGCAATTTAAAATCTTGCTTCGAAATTGATTTTAACAGAAAGGCTAGGCAGCTCTAAAAATTATTTTTCTAGGACAAGGTCACTTTTAACACTAATTATATTTGTAATAGAAAAAAATGTGTATTTTAACAGTATTGAATAAATAAATTTGAAAATTCTCATTTGTGAAGAAGTAACATTAAGTTACATGTTTCGCCAGTGCATATGAAACTAAAAAATTAAAAAATAAATAACGCGTGATTTGGAAACCGTTATCTTTTAAAAGATTTTTTTTTGTTATTTTGATTGGAAATTTTGTTGTCTTATTGAAACTTTTCCATTTCTACGATTTTAAAGGAAAAAGTTTCGTTACCATTAGCGAACTATGTCCTATACATAAAAATAAGTCCGTAAAACTAACTAACCGGTTTTTACTTCAAACGACATTTTAAATACTACTTTTTTTATGAACTACAAAATATTTCTCTACTGAACTTCTTAAAACATTTGGAACCGCTATTCTTCAGATTCTTGGAAAAAACGACTTATAGATTCTTAAAAAAACGGTTTACGAATGTGAATTTGGATATAAAATTTTAAAGTTTTTTATTTGTACAAAATGTGACTGGTGCCCGAGTTATATAAAATGCACGTACATAAGAACATTTAATTTAAAAAACATCCATGTTAAAATCGCCTAATTCATCAGTGAACCAGTCAATACGCTTTTTAAATTTATTGATAATCCATCTGACATATACATACATATGTATGATATAATAAAAAAACAAAATCAACTAGTGTAGTAATACAATAGTAATTAGTGAAAAATAATTATTCACAAGCTTATTTAATTAAGTCATTATGTAAATATAATATGAATAATATGTTAAATGAAATAAAATATTAATAAGAGTTCGATTTAACAAAAAGATGCAACAAAAAAACATTTCAACAGACATATTTAACAGCTTTAACTTTGTTATTTTTTTTTAACTTTTTAAAGGATTTCTTTTATTGATTTAGTTGTATTAAATGAAAACGACAGTTAAAAAATACATTTTACAGTTTTTGATTGATTTATACTTTTCAACGGACGCATTTAAAGGACTACAATTTTTTGCCGTTTCGCTCTCAGTTACTGCGTTAAGGAAAAATTTCTTTTGTTTTCACCAAATTCAACTAAATATTTTTAATGGAACGATTTTTCTTAGGAAAATCAACGGATTATATTTTAACTGATAGCGTTCCTTCAAAAATTACATACTTTTTATTTTGAGGCTTTTGAAAACGTACTAAAGTAAAAAATTGAAAAAAAAAATAAAAGAATATTTCAATTGGAATATTTCGAAAACAAAATTAAGAATTGTTCTTAGAAGTACATTTTTACATTGTATTTTTTGTACATTTTTAATGCATTAGCATTAGTACATATGTATGTAGCACTCGAATGAGCATTAAAAGAAGAAGAAATTCGAAAAAGCATGTAACTTGGTACCTATTCACTCATGTATTAATCAATCATGTTTCCTCAATTCATTTGCCTTTTTCAATTATATTTTTAATTTTTTGGTGCAATCACTTATTTTTTTTTAAACCCCTCATTTCTTTGAATTTAATGCATTACGTCATTGCAAATTATTGCAAACAAATTTCTTTTAAGAGTAATAGTCCAAATTCTAAGCAATTATATATAATAATATGTTGTATTGCATTACTAATACCGATTGTACGATATCATATTTGACCGATACCAAAAATTACAAAAATGACCGATTTTAAAAATATTAAAAAACAATATTATGTCATAAACACTATAAGATTTCTGAACCTTAAAATTTTAAATTATTACTAAAACTATGTGTATTAAGTTGGCAGAAGATGTGACTCACAAAATGTCAGAAATGTTTCAATAAGAGCGAGTTTTCTATATAAAAATTTAAATTTCTACTATAATTGCATCTCTTGGTTTATGGAACGAATCTGGATTTATGGAAAATCTATACTATACTATTTAATTGAAAAAAAAAGGTGATAGACATAGAAGTACGCTGGAATTGACATTATTTCATCTCTACATTTGAATTCTTTTTCATTATTTTGCTTGTAGACAGATTTTTAATTTCAGTTATTATTATATTATTTTGAAAAACAATTTTTATTTAAACTTCATATTACTTTAATTCAGTATCCCATTGGCAACATCAATTTTAAAATCACATAATTAATACTAATGTTTTCCTTTTTTAAACCCATGTTCATGACCATGTTTTTTACCTCCTTTTTTACCATAATGCTCATGATGATGATGATGTTCATCATGACCGTGATGACCTTTATGCCCTTTATGCTCGTCATCAAAATGTCCTTTATCATAATGCCCTTTTTCCCCTTTATGTCCTTTTTTAAAAGCAGAGTCATGATGTTCACCCTTTTTGTGTTCCCCATGATGATCTTCGTGATATTCGTGACCTTTGCCATGTTTTTTATGATGTCCACCTTTCTCGTCATCATCCCAAAATTTGTGCTCTTTTTTATATTCGTCTTTATGCGCTTTTTTGTGATATCCAGTGGTCTTATGTCCTTTTTTGTGCCCCTTTTTGTGGTGATGTTTTCCACCTTTATGGTGCTTTTTATGTTCGTGATGCTCACCATAGTCTTCATCTTCGTCCCAATGTTTTTTCTTGTGTCCACCATCTTCTTCATAATGTTTATGATGATCATCTTCCTCATAATGCTTTTTATCTCCGTGATGATGATGATGTTCACCCTTATGACCTTTATCTCCTTTATGTCCTTTTTTTTCATGATGATCTTCATGATGTTTATGGCCGCCATCCTCCTCATGTCCTTCTTCATGATGATGATGCTTGTGTCCTACCGAATAAGTGACCAATAATGTCAACAGGTATAACACCCATATATATTTCATGATTAAATTCCTAAATCATTAACTTTAACAAAAATGAAATACTTTATTAATTTACTTCCCAGTTTTGTGATTTCTTTAGATGTGAAGCTGATACTGAATTAAGTTGGTTAATTCTCCGTATTTATATTAGAAACCTTTGCTATTTTTTTATCTATTCAAAATTTTTGAAAAAAATTTCCATTTTGTAACTTTAAAGTGGTTTTTTGTTAAAGCATTATTACATTTTTGACCGCAAAAATCATTCAAGGTATGGTTCATTAATTTTCAAAATACCTGGGTTATAGGAAAATTGAAAGAAAAAGAAAAACTAGTTTAAAAATAAAAACAGTCTGTGAAAGACTACTTATGTCTCAATGTAGGTCAATCAACATACATAAACAAAAAAATTAGAATTTAGCTGAAAAGCAGATCAATATCGAAAACATTTCAAAAATCAAGTATATATCAATATAGCAACTATAAAGCTACTATATTACTAACATAACAAAAAAGGGAAAAAAAAATTATGCTGAAATTTTATTCAGTAAATTTATTCTTTGGTTTAGTTCCTTTAAACGTACATGTACACATACGCAAGAGCGTATCATAGTTGAAACACAACGACAATGTCAAGGACATTGATTTTTATATGTACGTGTAAGTATAAAATAAAATTTATTGTAAACAACAGGCTCAGGTACAAAAAATTAATTCAGCAAACAGATCTAGTTTTACGTCAAAATATCATTTTTCACTGAACTCCCATATATTGTAATTAGTTAATTAGGTTAATTTTACGTGACTTATATTTTTATTATATTTTAAGGTGAAATTTTTTTATGTAAAGTAAGGCGAGTGTGTTTAAGTACATTTTTGCTTGAATTAAAGGTAAAAAAACAGAGAAAAGTAAGGCAAAAGAAACAACAAAGTGAATTCTTTATGTCTACTTATTTCTTAATTATAATATTTAATTATCTATTCATTGGGATCAATCATAAACATATGTATGTAAACAAAAATTTTTTTTGTAGTTTAAGGAGGTTTAAAAAAATAAGTAAATAGGTAATAGGTAAAAAACTTTCGACAAGAACGATTTATTTTGAAAAACTTATGTGTATACATACATACATATATTTCATATATTCTTGAGTTATTTATACATTGTGCATATGCGTTGTTTATTACTTTTTATAACCGCAGTCTTAGGAGTTTTAGTTGGAGTGGTTTACAGATGTCTAATGGAGACAGGTGGATAAAATTTGCCAAACTGTCGGTTTTCAAAGTAAAATTCCAGATGGCGTACTATAGGAGCTGTTTTAATTTTCTTCAACTTATCCAATATTTTAAGGGCAACATTGATTAATTCATGTATCTGATTAAGATATAGAGGGTAATATGCAAAAATACTTGATTTTGCCCATTTGTTATCTGGGAATTGGTATGAACAGAATTGTATACATACGTAGCATGTTGAATTGTGAAAAATGTTAAAGTTGTGAATAAGATTTATAAGATACCTTAAATTAAAATTTGGTAAAGCAAGATTTTTTTAAGATACTTTAAATTGAATTTTTAATTTCATTTAATTTTGTAAAGGTATAATTTATAAAAAATATAAACGAAATTAAGCTTTATATTAAAATTGAATAGTGAAAATTATTTAGACAAGTAGGAGTATAATCAAAAATATAGCTCGAAATGAAAATTGAAAAAAACAAAAGACAATAAAAAATTTATTATAATATATGTGTATGTATACATATGTAGTGCTAGATTCGTTCTTGTGAAAAGAAAATCACGTACACATGTAGATAAATTTAAAAAAAAAATACATCTAATAACTTAAAATTATGGTGTACATTGTTATTATATGAGGTTTGTAAATGCAAACATCATATATAAAAAGTTGAAAGGATTATTGAATAACATAGGATAAAGACTCGATTTGGAAGCCACCTAATCCCTTAAAGTATTGCTAGTGTAATCTGTAATACTTTAGTATTGCTAATGCACTGAAGTAATGCGCGCTCATATACTTATAGTACAAAATTTTGGATTTCTCTTATTTTGTCTATTTTTTGCGCGCCTTTTTTCTCTTCCAAAAAAGGTCAACCACTTAAATTTTAGTACGGATGTTTTTGAGAATGTCATATACTGCAAAAAAGTGACATAAAATTTCGCTTAAAGTTTTGAAATAAAAAAAAAAGTTCACCATTTTCAGAACTGGGCGTTGAACTTTCATAAGAGGAATGAGAGCAGAAATGAAATATTTAAAAAAAGAAAAAACAATTAAAAAAGCATATCAATTTAAATAGAAAAAAACTGATGTGATCAACACATAACCGAGCACATAGAGTCTGTTGTCTATAGCTCACCTAAAATGTTTATTATTGAATAAACATTGTAAAAAATAAGATTACGAAAATGTCCTTCAAACATTTCGCCATCCGAATTCCCTGAAAAGTTCACCAGTTAGCTCTTCTAGCAAACACAACTCATATATTAAATTTGAAAAAATTCCGTCAATTAGTTTTAATGTAAATAAAAAATGTAAAATTGGCCCTCATCTCAGTTTCCCAGCTCTTATATTCCAAAAAATCTAAAAGTTCCCTCTTTTAACACACTAAATTTACATTAAATTCTAAGAAAATTTTTTGATTATTTCTCTTTACTTAAAATTAATAAAATTTCAAAAGAATCTGTTCAATATTTTCTTGAAAATACTCGGGAATATAATATAATCGGTACATAAAAAACCTAAGTTCCGGTGGACGGATTGATCAACTTCTGGCATATTCCAAAAGTTGATCAATTCGTGACATAGCTAAAATAAACTTATATATATGGTTTCATCAAAATCGGTTTCGCTAATTTTAAAATAAACGCGTACACAAACACTGATAAGCCGATAGGCAGGCGAACCGACTCTTGCCAAAAATATTTTATTTTAAAGAAATGAGCGCTGAAAATTGATTAATGGTGGATATAAGGCTAAACCGTTATAACACAATTATTAAAATTTATGTCATGATTTCTAGAAATAATCTAGGTAACTATTTTTATCAATGATACAGTTGCATATTATTAACTCGTTTTAGAGCCTGTAAAAATTTTAGTTTTTATTATGAAGCCATATGTAACAAAATTAGCTTATTTACATCAGAAAAGTTTCATCAAATAAAATTTGTCAATGAAAATTCTAAAAAACATTTTTTGTTTTAATGTTGAAGGAGACCACGCAAGAAAATTTAATAATATGACAAGTAATATTCTAAAACGAGTATATTTTTAAAGAAGTGTGACTGCGGCAAAAGTAAATATTGAATCTTGAAGCTCTCCGCCCCATCATTCAAAAAGCAATTTCAATATTGAAGTCTGCAATGGAACATTGCGTAATGAATCATCCTCAAACCTACAAAAAAGACATACATTTGTTGTCAAGAAATAAAACTCAACACTTAAAAGTTAACTTATGTTACCTACACATCTATTAGAAAATTATTCAATTCAAATCAAAAATATTTTGGGGCAGAATCTTCAGTGTATAATTTTCATTAATATAAGTGCACAATCTTCATCAATATAAGCGACATTACTAAATAAACTATTATTTCTTGACACCTGACTACAATTACGAAAATGTTCGAACCAGTTCAGAAAAAAGACCTTAAAGTCCTCATTGTACAGTTTCACTAGCAGCAACTTATGAGAATCAGAAGCTGTGCAAATATTAATAGATAGGGCAACCCAAGAGTCAAGGGCAGCCTTCCTAATACTTCAACGCTTTCTAAATCAAAACTGATTATCAAATAAAATTAATCACCGTACGTACTCACATAGCTAATGGCTCTTACTCACAGATGGGCCAACGGTATACACGACATGAAACTGCCATTGGACTTTGGTCTGAGGGAGAAGAACATAGTGAGGCTTACGTTGCGAATCTACCTGAAATGTAAATCTGAGACGAGGAGGGGCCAGAACTTGGAGCCGTGTTCTTCTACACGGATGAATCCAAAACCAACGAAGAGGTAGGCGAGGGTGTGTACGAAGAGCGCGTCAGCATCACAGGAGCCCTCGGACACTGCCCATCGATAAATCAGGCTGAAACATATGCCATAAAGCTATGTGCTCTAGAACGAATCAGGGGGAACATTAGAAGAAGCAAAATATTTATTATATCGGACAGTAGGGCAGTTTTTGGGACCCTCTCTTCTGATGTAACAAGATCTAGGCTGCTAAGGGAATGGATTGACACCATAGGTGTTTTGGATAGGCACAAAAAATTAACCTTGATGTGGATGCCGAGACACTACGGTGCAGACGAGAATGAGAGAGCTAATGGTCTCGCCAGTGGGGAAGCGGCGACTCTTTCAATGGGCCAAAACCATGCTTTGGGGTACCAAGGATAACGGTCCTGGGTGCTCTGAGTGATAAGTAGGGGCGGTCCAGGATTGAATATTGAAACAGCTGCCCGGGCCTCTCCCACTATGAGAATTTGTGAACCCTTTGGATTTGAGGGACTAAAGCTGGCCATGCTATATTGGAGTTCCCATTGGACACTGTCTCTCGATGGTCCATTAAAAAAGGATGGGAAAGGCAAGGGACGGAGTCTGCCGTTTGTGCCTGGAAGACGATGAAACGATGGAGCACTCATTATGTGAATGCGAAGCGGTTGCTCGCCTGATACTGGATGCTTCGGGAAGTGGGAGGGTTTGGTATAGGCATAGTTATAGGGGTGATGTAGATGGGGACGGGAATTACAAAAGATTACAATTCGTATTTTGTTTACTGACATTTTTCGGATTTCGATTCGCGGTTGCATATTTCGGAAATCGACATACTTTATTATGTTTATTATCCATAGTAGTTAGTCTTATTGAGATATCATTAATTCTTTTTAGCACATCTTACATCATTTGCATTATGCTACTTGCAATTCCTTTCTATTTCTTTGTATCATTTACATTGTATTATTGTAAATTTCTTTAGTTTTCATACCTTCCTTAGGTTTCTTATCT